GACATTGTTGGCCTGGCACATAAACTAACGTGCCTCTAAAACTTTGTGGTTGCACTTAATACAATTGATTGTATCCATCTATAGAAGTAGACCATGAGTGACTGCTTGGAACAAGGCATTTTTCAATTTTTATACATCATCTGTTCTTTAACTCTTTCAGAACCCTCATGAGACACCCATACCATTGCCAGTTGACGGGACTCCACAGTGACTGTGAATACACACGCGTGCCCTTCGGAAAGAAAATGATGTTCCAATACATTTTATGTTACAATTGCACCTTTGGTTGTCACAGCACTGGGTAAAATAAAAAAATTAAAACTAATGCAATTGAAAATGAATTCGGAAGAAAATGTGCTTCACGTATACGGTCATCAAGTTCCCTTTGAAGCCAACCAAAATTTATAATTCATAATTTTAAAGGACACTTGTAAAATCATGAAAGAATCCTGTTCCAAAGACGATCTGACATTGAGAATGTCAAGTGTATCGAGGTTTCTCTGCGTTGTAAATGCCATTTTAACTGCCAACTGTGTTAACGTTGCTGCGAGTAAAAAAATATAATCCTTGGAATATATCTTTTTTAATATAGGAGTCTTTACAGATTTCTGTTGACCTCTTGAAAATGTACAAAGCAAGTCAACCCGCCATAAATTTGTATCCTGGGGCATTTAACAATATATCAGATGAAGCTTTAAACAGGCCACACTATATTATATATATAAAAGATGCAAAGGCAGGTTGCCCCAAGCCACAACTTAGCGAAATCATAAAAAACCAGATGCTTTGCAATCGTGGCATTGTGCCAATACGTCTTTACTGAGATTAACCACCTTAAGAGAAGAGAGGGGATTTTTATTTTCATCATTGTACTTTGGACAATTCCCGAAACCGTGAGTTCCTTGCAATTAAATTAATTTTTAAAAACGCAGCCATCCGAGGGATTAATTAAGCATAACTCATGGTATTTAGAGCCACGTTGCATAGACAAACCCCATCAATGCAAGGCTGCCCCTGTAAATATATTCCCATCATTGTTACCGTGGCTCCAATTAAAACAAATGCTACCTCAATGGGACCACAAAATAGGCCGCGACACTGCCGGAGAGCGACACGCGAAATAAATATAATGAATTTCAGCGCCTGGAGCAAATGGTTAAGCTTCCCTTAAAGCCCATTGCTCTGATGCCTTGCGCGTAGTCAAAGATGGGAAACCTCAAAGCAGGGCGGCATATCGGCTTATTATTATTATTATTATTCATTCCCCTTTATTGTTTTCTCTTTTTTGCTTCTATTACATTTTCTCTTTGGGGGGGGTGGGGGGTGAATTGGTGTGCAGGGAGCTTTATGCACGAAGCCAACCCGAGGCTTTCCGAATCGGAGTGCATATATTCAGCGACCTCGTGCGCCCGATAATCAGATCCTGCTCTGCTTCAGTAGGAGGGCATTTTTTAATGCAGATAGCACATGTCAGTGAACATTTGCCGGGCGGGACACATGCTACGGCACACAAGCTATCGTTCCATACCGATATATATATATATGTGTCTGTGTGTGTGGTGAACGCAGATTCACTGGGGGCTCTTTGAGAAATGCCTCGGTGAAAGTTTTAAAAACCGATCTGCTGCTACTGACAACCGAACGAGCTGGACGCACCAAATGGTCCCCTCTCATTTATAACCTTTCCCATGTTCTTATACTGCTATGAAAGAAAATACTCATAAGCAGGAGGGGGGCATGAATTATATGGTACTTCTGTGTTGTATGTTGTATATGACAATGTAGAAATGTATGGTAATAATAGTGATGATGAATGTGTAAATTAAATGTATGAATGGTTGTAACTGAGAGTAGGTAATTTTGTTTTAATTGTATTAAGAATACTTTACATACGCAGGAAATCATCAACTAAGTAACTTAACGGTTTTCTTCTTGTAAATTCCATATGGCATTGTCTAACTGTGTGTGTAAACCACAACAATTTTGTATGCGTGTAGGCCTTAAGGTTACATTTCTATGCACCTCTTTAGAGACAATCACGACTGTGTTTTTTTTAATAATCAAACGCACTAACAAAATACGCATCTTAAAAATAACATGCATGCGATCGCACTACAATTGAAAAGAGCCTTGTATTTTGTCTCAAAATAAAATGTACAGACATTTATCAATCCACTGCTGCCCCACGCTAGAACGATCATATGAGTTGCCTGACCATACTTTACCATGCTGGTCACTGCAAATTGGTGAAACGAGGTCAGGAATGGTTCAGCAATAACCCACCTCGGAACTAAGCTGTGACCGCGAATCCAACTTGGTTTTTGCTAACCTTCAATTTCAGTCCCATGGTTATGTTCTCTGAAATTCATAATAATACCTATAAATGACGTGAACTTCGACGAGCCAATATGCCCTGTGTGACAAAACGTCGCGTTTCTTTACAACAGCAACCGCAGGTTTAGGTAAAGCTGTGTGACTAAAAAAAAACGCGGTAGCAGTCTATTTGCATTACGCAGTCCTTTTTCCATTAAGCTCGCATGCGTTGGTAAGCGTTTTGTAGAGTTCCTGTTACACGCGAAGTGACAGTCACTTTAGTGTCTACTTTTATCGGCGGAATTCTCGCCAGCTCCCAGGTTAATCTCATTGGCAATCAGTGGCAGACCTTGAAGAGAGCTTAGAGATCATCGCAGTGTCTTCACGGCACACTTTGTCCCAAGCACATTTAGTAATAGCCGCTCTCAGAGGTGGGAGGGAGGGCTGGGCTGCTGGATTAGAATGGGGATGGGTGGAAATTGAAAAATCGCAAGTGTGTGTTGCTGCGGTGTAACAGCGAGCACGCTGGACACGCAACCCAGAGGTCGCCGGTTCTCACCGATCTCTTCAATCGCAGCGGTTGTGCGTACGTTGAACTTCTTTTGCACCGTACGTAGCCAACCGTGATAATCGGAGGTGCGGGGTAAGGACAACAATTAAACTCAAAAAGCAGTTCTCTTTACTTGATACAGCAAGCGTGCTGTGACGGTTCCACCTGAAGACGGAAGTTTGTGCTGCCTCCGAAACGTCGTGACTTTTTATTTAATTTTTTATTTTACTTTTATTAATTTTAATTTTTTACCTACGTGACTTTACCGAAAAAACCCAAGAATATGAATCCTTGCAGTCACGAAAGCTTCAAATCTAGAATTAGTTCTCAAGAAAAAAATCTAAAATATTGATCATTTAAATGTGCACAACTCCAGCGGCGTCCTAGTATCGGAAGGAAGAGCGTTCCAGACGGCCGCAGAAGCGCACGATGCAGTGACCGCCTTTGTTCAATGGTTAGCCAATAGCCGCTGCTGTGAGGATGGTCAGAGTTCGCGTGATGGTTTGTTCTCCAAGGTATTGTGGTTCATTTGTGGCAAGCACTTTGCGTGTGAGTGCGACCTTGTCATGTATACGTTCGGCCACCGGAAGCCAATACAGCTCAAGCGAGCACTGGACGGACGATGGCGCAAGTTTCTTCAATCCCCTCCTCACCCTCCCCTCCAATGCCTCTGCCCAGGCAGCAGTATAAGTCGATACACCACAGTTCGTTGACTGGCAGGTCGTGAGTGGTGGGGTAAAGTGTGGGTACTCCAATGTACTCCAAGAGACAACGTGGTCGAGTAGAGGACAGATTAACATAGAGATTCGTTCTCTAGAACTGCCCCTCCACCCATTGGAGGCCCTTCTACCAGCAGCGGTGTAATAAAGTCTTTGCAGGGCCGCACCTTTGCGTTTTGCAGGGCAAGTGTTAGAAATAGTTCCTTCCACAGCACAATGGTGCTGGCATTAGTAATTGTAATGTAATTGCGATGTGCAGCTCTCCGTCAATGCACTGCTGGTGTTTCTGCACTATATGTCAGTCATCGGGGATTGTTGAGCCACAGTTCACCACCCTGGTGAGTGTGTGTTGGTGAGCGGGGAAGTGATGAAAGACCGGTTCATACAGTATGTCACTCGCTACTGATGTTATTTGTGGCCAGCTTTCAAACTCATAGTTGCAGTGCATTAACCGTGTATCAACATTGCGTTTTCCCTTCCTTCAACGGACACGTCTACACGAGCCATTATAATATTTAGCACACTTTAATTAGTAATTCACACTATTAGTAATTGAAGCGTTATGAATAATATAGGGCCTTGTGTAGACATGTTGACAAAAAGAAAAACGACCAATTTTAATCTGGACATAGATGAAGGCGTTTGACATCCGTAATTATAAATCTCACGCAGAAAATCAGCTGTGGATATAGCGAGTATGTACAAGTCAGATTAATAATGCAAACACCAAAAATATTCAAGTGCACGTCAAACCTATGGCAGCTTAATTTAATGGTGAAAACGACAAAAAATGTAACCTGAAAGTTGCGAAGACGTGCACTCATTTCGTTATCCAAATGAAAAAAAAAATCTTTCAACGTGACAAGTTGAGACATCACCAAATTTTTTTAAACGTATTACCGTGTACGCGATAATATTGTTCCTTTTAAATCGAAACACACAAGCCCAACGGCCTCTCTCGGTGATCCGCAACCATTTACATAACGCACAATCGATGGATCAACTTCTCTGGCTGAAGCCGTAACTTCTCCCGGACGTTTGAAATCTGTCACTCGACTGGATAACAAAGATGTTAATCCGTGAGCTATTTTTATCACCTTGTTTGCTAAGCCAACTTGTTGTTGTTGTTGCCCCAAGTTGTTCAACTAGCCTCATCCCATTCCCTCTTAACCTGTTACACACGCACGTCCTCCGAGCAGCGATGGCTGCTGACGAGCTCTCGCTTTGTATGCGAATGCCTTCCGTGTCTTGCTGCCTTATCCTCGCCCCCCCCCCACCCCCTTTGATCTCCGCGTTGCTCAATCTTCGTTTACGAGCGGGCAACACACGTGCTTCACGTGATCGAGCGCGCACATTTTACTTTCCGTCATCCCCCCCCTCCGTTCTTGTTGTCTCATTCATAATTAAGAGCAGTTAATCGTAAAGCAGAGCAAAGGCAAATAACATTGCGGAGCAATCTCAGGTGGCCGCAAAGCCAATCTTGCGAGCGCGGAGAAAGACGCCGTTTGGAGAGGCAACGAACGCAGACGGCAGAGGACGCGGCTCACGACTCCAGGTGACTCTTCGCAACGCCGAGTTATATCTTCCTAATTATCGCTAATCAAGAGCAAATACTGCCCCCTTCGACATAACTCACGAACACGCGTCTTGTCGTCGTTATTGGATGTCATTTTCAAATGCTAAAGTCTCAATGAAGTGGCAGTGTGGTGTGTTTAAATGTGTACGTGTGGCACTGTGTTGGGATGGGAGCAGTGGTTAGAGGGCGGCATCATGTGCATTCTGAATGATTTTGTCATTGGCATTCCTACCGGGCTGTGACACTTTTAATCAGACCTTTCTTTAGTGATGGCATCCATCCTTCGAGGAATGAAACCGTCCAAACGAAAAACTATTGCGCAACTTAGAGCAAAGAGAGTTATATAAAACAACAATTTATCACGACGTTTCGATCGCCACACAAGCAACCGTCACCAGGTGACTTTACCGAAAGAACCAAAGAGTATAGATTCCTGCAGTCACGAAAGCTTCAAATCGATATTCTATAAAAACACTTTAGGAGGGTCCTACATTAAACTTGTTATTCTTCTTCGAGCGATGTTTTCGCTCAGTCGGCCTTACCGGCTGAAATAAAGGTCCGAGTCTGAAATGTGCTTCCAATTAGATTTTAACGAGTGCCTGGCAAGTGCGAGGAAACTTTGAGTATCTCGAGAAAACCCCATGCATAATTTGTGCACGTTTGGTATTTTTCACCCTTCCTTATTATCCAAGGCTATCACATAGGCACAATGTTTCAAAGGGATTATAGAAACGGGTGGACTTCTCCACAAATCTGTCTGTCGTCTCATAAAGCTAGTTGTAATTACTGGCGAAACATTGCACGTCAGATTGTTAATGGTATGGCTTGGCTCTCCAACACACCGATGTGCTGTACTAGTGACGAATTGGCACGTTCTGTTTACGTTTTACTAGTTGGCTGTGTCGGGTGGTGGCGGGTTTAACGACACGTTTATATATTTACGCGATCTAACCTAAAAACTCCATTATGGATGATATTGGTAGCGAAAGCCTACGTGTCAAACAAATTATAGTCTGCCAGTAGGGTGTGATTGTAATTCGCGGTAATATCCAATTGAGACATTTTGCAAAGTTATGCTTCAAATATGGTCAAATTGGACTGTAATACCGCTCACGCGGACTGCTCTTCTCCTCGTTAACATCCACGCTGAAGCAAGCGGCGCGTTGTATCTGCGGTGAGAACACCCGCAGAAATTCATTAAGGAGGCCGCCAGCCTCGAGCCTCTGCAACGAGCGGCGAGCGCGCAACCGCTCAGCCTCCAAGGTCGACGCAGACGAACTCGCGAACCCACTTTCTGTACGGCCACCACCACCACCCCCCCCCCAGGCCACCCTCACAGCAGCCCATCGGGAGATATTTGTGAGGTTCACACGTCCACGCTATCCACCCCACCCTTGCCTCCGAAGTTCTGGATCATCGGCGTGAAGAGCGTAGGGGGCAGAGTGGAGAACGACGTGGCATGTCCATCTCGCCCGGGGCCGATATGTGAACAGGAGTGAACATGGGAACGTGTCGAGACACGGACAGTCACACCACCGTGCACAGTTACTGCGCTGGGTCTGGGCGGTTAAATGGTCGGGGTGGATATGCGACGTTTGACTGTGCGCCAAACGTCATTCACTTCGCGGTCGCAATCGCAGCATCCTGAACGGGTAAACTTCACCAACAAAGGGAAACATTCACCCCCCCCGTCAAGCCGAAGTCAACATGGATTACAAATAATATCCGCGTGGCTCAAAGCACTTTCACTGGCACAGCACTCAACAGGAATTAACATCTAAATAGGCTGCACACCAATTAACCGTAAATTACATTTACTCTGCTGATCCTCATCTAAATGCGTCTTGAGTGGGATTTGTCTTCTCTCTTCGTGCCCCACTTTGGCCCCAACGGAAACTTTCGCTGCGTGCACACAGCTCCGGTTAGAATGAATACGAGACATCGACTTCACATCTCGCCTCCAGTAGCTAACACCTCTTTCAATCTTCTCGGTTCTTTCGGTAAAGTCGTGTAGAAGGGAAATAATAAAATAATAACATAAAACATAATAAAATAAAATTCTCACGACGTTTCGGCCACAACACAAGCAGCCGTCCTCAGGTGAAGAAACAGAGCTGTCGGCAAAGACATCGCTCCAATGAACACTGCTAACCTGTCTTTCCGACAGACCTGTTCTTCACCTGAGGACGGCTGCTTGCGTTTTGGCCGAAACGTCGTGAGAATTGTATATTATTATGTTTTATTTTTATTATTTTATTATTTCCCTTCTACGTGACTTTACCGAAGGAACCAAGAAGACTGCTAAGCTTGGCAGCGTATTTAAGCTGGGTGGGAGGCGCAGAGCGCCTTGACAAATGAGTTTACATATCAACCTCTTTCAATGTCCACGCTTCCATATCCGTGATTTATGGCAGGCTATGTACGAAGGCGCAGCCCTGCAATTGCTTGCTCAAGCCACTGCTGGCGGATGGCCCTCTCCACTTGAGGGCGCTATAGAGGCCCACCTCTAAAGTGGTATTTTGGGCGAGACTTCCATGCCGGTCAGATGTCTTTAAAGAGGTTCAAATGCCCACACTTTACCCCACCACACACAATCTACCTGTGTTTAACACGTAGGCTTTCGTGACCAATATCCATAAATGTGAATTTTGTGGGTTTACTCTCCGACACACCGGTGTGCTGAAGAAGTAACGAATTGGCACGTTTTGTTAAGGTGATATAAAACCTTATAATCACGAATCTACCTCTGGTTTACCTGTTTATACTGCTGGGTGCACAGAGACGGGGGAGAGTTTAAGCAATCTGTAGCTGGTAAAATACGCTGGTCAAAGAGTTATTATACAGATAGGAACAACAGGTTCCACACTGCCCACCAGGGATTATTTGTCTGTCTGTCGTGCATATGAGGAGGGGAGGGTGGGGGTGGGGCTGGATGGAGAGGGGAGGGTGGGGATGGACTGGGTGGGGAGGGAGGGGCTGGGTGGGGAGGGGAGGGTGGGGAGGGGCTGGGTGGGGAGGGTGGGGCTGGGTGGAGAGGGGAGGGTGGGGAGGGGCTGGGTGGGGAGGGGCTGGTCACCCCGTGGTGCCCTTATAAAACTCAATGTTTAACCTACACACTACACTATACACGACACGATACACTACACTTATACAGGTAGGAACAACAGGTTCCACACTGTCCACCAGGGGTTATTTGTCTGGCTGTCGTGCACGAATGCGCTGCCCAACCAAGTTCCTACCAGCCCACTCCGAAGGAACGTGTTTTTGACACATTGGTATGCTGCTATTTGTTTTCATGTTTGGTATTCCAGAAGCACTCCAACCGGCTTTCGTCCACCTCTTTGTTTCATAATTTTCGTCCCGGTCCACGTTCGAAAATTGTCTTACTCTGATACTTAAACAGCTGTGAGATATGGCATGGGATTGGCAATGCCTTAATCCAGCAGTGGAGAGAGAGATCGTGTCAAATAATGACTTGTGCGCATATCGGACCGTTGTCATCATACGGCGTATCTGAAATGGCAGTGATGTACTCTACCTGAACCATAAGGTTGTCAAGTCAAAGTCAAGGTGACCTCAGAGAGACTTTGCCCAGCCCAAGATTTGTTCACTCGACCCTGGGGGAGGGGGGGGACGAAGACTTCTCGAGCACAGCCCCCAAACATCTGGAACTCAAATTTCGATTTAAAGCTTTCGTGACTGCAGGGATTCATCTTCTTGGTTCTTTGGGTAAAGTCACGTAGAAGGGAAATAATAAAATAATAAAATAATAAAACATAATAGGACGGCTGCTTGCGTTGTGGCCGAAACGTCGTGAGAATTATTTTATTATGTTTATTTTTTATTATTTTATTATTTCCCTTCTACGTGACTTTACCGAAAGAACCAAGAAGATCTGGAACTCACTCACACCGCCCGCCTGCCTGCCACCGGACGTCCGAAACTCGCCGAATGTCTCTCAACTCCGTGGTCTGTGCGAGCACACGCCTGTTCACGATAAAGGTGTTTGGGTTTGATCGTGTAGATATAAATGTGTCGTAACCCTCCACCACCCGACACAGCCAATTAGTAATGGATTTGCCACGTAAACAACGCGCCAATTAGTTACTGCTACAGCCCACCGGTGTGTTGGAGAGTAAATCCACAATATTTATAATTTGAAAACGACGTTTCGCTGGTAATTACGTTCAGCATCATCGGGCGATTTGGCAAATCGCCCAAAAAACTTTATCGTGAATAATATTGGTCGGGAAAGCCTTCGTGTTAGACACCTGTTCACACTCGCCTTCCCCTAACATCTAAAATTTAAGAAGTGGGGGGCGGGCACTAAAAAACTGTTTCTTTACTTTTATTAATTGTATTTAGTTCTTATTTTTCTCATGCTACTAGGTACCGATGCCGTTCCGTTGTACTGTGCACTGACGCCTACTGCATTGAGGGCGATATTGGCAGGCAAAATAAAGATGCATTGCTCATCATCATCACCATCAGCATATTCATCATAAACCTTCCAGGATCAGAAAATCAGCATTACGTGGTGAGGCTGCACAGCTTCCCGATAAGTCTACGGTTGGTTATTCAACAGCAAAAAGCAATCCTTTCCAATGGAAAAGTGGACATTTATGAACACAGCTATCACAACGATTTCCTCATTTGTATGTCGCCATAGCTTCTTCGAGTTTCACTGTGGATGCTGTCTGCATCTACAAGCCCAAACTGCAAAGTGGCATAATCACTTTCTTGGATTTACATTTGCTATACACAGAGGCACGTCCAAGTAATGCATTAGGAGCCATCATCTAAAGTGGTGGAGGGATGATAATTTGTGCATGATACAAAAGCCAAGTAAGACCATAACCTTGGGAAGTCATTGAATAGGTCTAACCTGCTATAGACATATCGTGTGTGCGTTATGTGTGTGTGCACGTGTACACGTGGGGAGCGGTAGCGCACTGCACTACGGACCTCGAAACCCGGGT